CTTGCAGCAACTTGCGCCATAAACACACTCTCCACTGCAAGCCAGCCACTCAGTAGGCTGCCTTAGTAGGAAACTCAGCATTGAACTCTAGGCAGTCTTTCCCAGAATCCACAGCCACTCGTCCTCCCCTTTGTATTTTTCACCACAATTTTTTCCCTCGCCAGATGCCATCTGCCTTACACCATGCTACCAAATTTGTTGAGCACTCTTTGCCTATCTGTGCGTTGCCCCCCCCCACAAGTTGACGCAACACAACAGATTAAAACCTCTCAGCCATCAACCTGCACAACACTGCAAGGTTGCATTGCCAAAAAGGCTGATCTCTTCAGGTTTCCCGCCTGGCTTCCATCTGGTGCAGCCATCCCTCTTGTCTCAGCACACAGTTGTGGCGAAGGGATGCACTCAGCAGAACTCTCCAAGATTTCTGCCAACTCGGAGTGGCTGTCACACCATGTTTGTGCACAGTACATATGTGCATTGGAAGATTGCTGCCTTTTCCAACTTGACAAGAACAAGCACTTCATAGCCCACTTCCACCTCCACGATCTTATCCTGCAACACCAAAAGTATGTCTGTTAGCTCCACAACCACCAGGGGTGCCCCCCCCCCCTCGTCCCGGTCTGCCCTGGTAGCATATCTGCCAATACCTGCTGATGAGCGCCCTGCTCATCCTTCACACCATGCCACTACTCAACCCACCTTTCATGGCGTTGTTGCAGTGCAACGGCGGCCATCAGTTGGCCCCTGGCGTTTAGCTTGTGGCAATGCATGGCCAGTAGCGGTGTTTTACGATGTGGAGTCTGGTCCCGTATGCCATTGACTCTTGGACAACTGCCCGCAATGGACCAAAGGGAACAGTTGTGTCGTGTGTGAAGCATAGAATTCGAGTGGTGGTGGTGGTGGGAGGGTGAACGTGGTTGTGTGCGAGTTCCTCCTTTCAGATCATTGGGGCCTGTGAATTTAAAAGGTTGCATCCGCCACTGGACATGGCACTGGAGTTAGATGCAACAGATGAACGTTTCAACACTGAACACTTCCAACAGTGGCATCACACCCATGCTTGTCGCATGGACACATCAGTGAATGACTTGACAGGCAAGTGCTCCACCCGCGACCATAAGGTTCGCATCACAGCATATCCAAGTCTCCCCATGCACCGGAGAGATGTCGGTACTTGAGTGGAGGCGAGAGGTGACATCACCACCAACGCCCTGCTTTGGCACCTGACTCTTTAGCCCAGCAGGACTCCGGAGAAACCGAGCGGCTGGCAACACAGAGTCCTGCGGGGCGGAGACTTGACAGCCACCCCGTCCGGATCCGCCTCCACCGTACCCGCACGCCGCAGGCCTTGGGGTTAGATGTGGCACACACGGCGACACTTACAGGAGCCCAATAGCCAATATACCCCTGCATCCCACCCCACCCCTACTCCCCATTCCCACAAACAGGCATGGCGGGGATTCTGCAGGGGCTGGGCCACAGTCCTCTCGCAGGACCTTTGGGCGTTCGCCGCCAACAGGCACGCCCACCAGGCCAGACACGTCGCAGACACGCCAGCAAACCGAACGCATCAATCACACCAGACGCCCCATGGGAGCGACTCAACCGCCGTTCCCTTCATGTCCCTCTCCGCGTCGGCACGGCTTCCCAGGGACGCCCGCGGGCAATGGGCGGCGCCAGATACGGGACAGAGGGCCGCCGCCGCGCCCAGTGAGGCGGGTGGCGACCCAAGGAAAGCGATCGCGGGCGCATCCGCAACGCCGAAGGACGAATCCCGGACCTCCGCAGCCGCTGCAGGGTGCGCAGTGTCGGCAAGGTCGGCAAAGGGTGGCAAGCCGGCGACTTGGGCGGCCACGTGCGGAAGAGTGGAGTGCGGTAAAATATTCAACCAGTCCAGAAGTCGGGCCTTCGCCCCGACGTTCTGCACTTTTTCGTTCCTACGCTATCTATTCAAAGCAACTGACTCGCTGGCCAGACTGGGCTGCACTGTTGCGTTGTTCATGTTTTCCATTCCCTGTCGATTTGCTCATCACGTTCTTCGCTGTGTCCTTTGCCGCTGTCGCTGCGCCGAGGGCTGCACGGCACCGCCGCGCCAGTTTGCTCCCACTAAGCTGCACGGGGAGTCCTTGTCGGTTTCTACAACTTCCACCATTGAGTTTTGGGACGCGAGCCATCGCCACTGCGGCCATCAGCCCTGGCCGCCGCAATGATGTGGCATCGCGTCGGAAGACGGGCGTCGAGCGTAAGCGGGCACCGAGCACCGCAGCCACGACAGCGGTAGCCGCGCCCCTCCCGTCGGCCGCCCTTGAGCGTAACTCTTAAATTCCATGGAGATGCCCGCCATCCTGCCGCTTTCAGCGATTGAATTCCCCACCATCGCCAACATGCATCGCAGGATTGTTGGCCTTGTCTTTCCCAAGGAATCCCCCCTTGGATGGGTCACTTGCTGCACCCTGACCGATTGCGACATTCCCTCCCAATTTCGACCGTTGAGCTTTGGGACCCGAGCCGTCGCCGCTGCGGCCATCGGTGCTGGCGATGGCTGTCAACGCCAGTGCGACGACGGGGAATCGTGTCCCACTGTCGCAACACGCGGCTCCACACCTCGAGAGAAGGCGCTGGGTTCGGCGTGGCCTATACCGGGATCGCCCACCACCATCGCCGTCGCTCGCCATCGCCACGAGCGTGATTCGCAAGCCATCGCCGCAGCCGCATTGCCCTCAAGCGACCCAAAAGTGCATTCGACACTCACAACCCATGATTGACACACACCGCGCTGTGATCGGGATGGGGGAGGTCCATGCCCCACCCCGTGCTCGCGCTCAAGCGCGCAACCCGACCCGGGTGGGAGCCGCACGCCCGCTCTCCGCTTTTCAAAACTTCACTCCAGGGCCCGGGGGCCCGAACGCTTGGTCTTGAGGGGCGCGCTGAGTGCATCCGGTGCCGCGGTCGCTGCGCCGACGGTTGCCACAACAGAGCGCTTGAAGGCTCTGGACTATCTACGCAGCCCGACTGGAGCCCTCACGGGAACGGCAACGCCGAGCCGCGAGTTTGGGCGCTGGCCATCGCCGTTGTGACGATCGGCGCCGGCGATGGTCTCCATTGCCGCCGCGACGACGCGGCATCGCGCCAAGAAACGTCCTCCTCGAGCGCAAGCGCGCACCGAGCGCCGCAGCTGCGGCACCTATAGCCGTGCGCCTGCCATCAGTCGCCCTCGAGCGCAGCCAGCAGCCCACCCTGGGGGGGCCCATACCCACGGCACCCGACTCGGAGAGTCCCCCCCACTCACGTAACCCCCATGTCACAATGGTCGATTCTTACACAAGAACGCTGAGTCAGACTTTGAAAAATTCATTTCCGGGGCGCTCTTAGCCGCGTTCCCAGCATATAATATAAGACCCTTCCGCATCGGAAAATTTCATCGTTACACATTTTACTCCGCATTTTGCTTTTCAGTGCAATATTTCTATTTTTTTTATGTTGCCCCGCACAGAAAGGCCAAGATTTGCGTTATTGTTCATAGTACTTTTTCCGGAAAAAAGACCAAGCGTTACGTTGTTATGTGGAAGGGTTTAATATTGTACAGTAACGAGCATCCGCGAAGTGCCCAGCAGAGGTGTGCGGAAATGGAAATGGAAATCACACTGCAATTTAGGCGAGTTCACCCATTAGTCAGCCTTCCTTCCCCTCAGCCCCGAAACAAAAACAAAAGTAAAAAAGTTATGGCGGATGGCCGTGGGGCCACGTGTCCTGCCAAAGCGGGCCAAATTGAGGTTGACGTGCAGATCGCAGGCCCAAGTGTGGCCACAGCAGACTGCCCTGGGTTGGTTCTACCCTGATCGCATATTTTCCCAACCGAAAAAAGACACGTCACCAATCCAGTGTTGACCACGGCATTACCACATTTGTTCGCACGTCCGCAGCAGCGAGGACGGCCGTTATTTCTGCGGCAGGCCGCTTGGGAATGTAAAATTATTACCTAGCGCCGTTGTAAGGGCAACTTTCCCTGCTGGAGTTCGAGGGCACTCAACGCCTGCATTGACCAGAATCTCGGCACATGCTGAGGTTCTAGTCATTGCAGGGAAGCGACATTCTGCCCAGGCTGATACGATTGTGTCAAGAATGCTGATGCCTTAGAACAACCACGTCTGTTGGTGACGCAGCTGGCTGAAACCGTACGGTGATAAGGGTCTATGGATTTTGACCTCCCTGTTACCCCAGGGCCAGGGGCCCGCTGCCACCGGTGTGTGAGCCTATCACTGGGACAGCGGCCCCCGCGCAAGTTCACTGTTGGCCTGCCCACCAGGCCAACTAGTGGCCATCGCTTGGCGTATGACAACGCAAATCGAAGAAGTTTATGGCTTTCGATTCGGCCAATACATTTTCGCCGCAGCATCTTTGAGCCCCGTTACAACTAGAGTATCGATTCCTGCGATGAATGGGAGACGGAACAGCACATCGATCGCGATCTTGAGATTCGAGAATGGGAGCATTTCGGAATAGCATTTGTGAGCTCAGCTATTGCTTCTGTCCATGCTCGCCTGTTGCAAAGGCACATTTTCCAATGCAGTACCGTCGACAACCTCTTCCAGCAAATAGTAAGTGTTGAATTTTGGATATCATTCGCGCAGTTTCAGTGAAGTGTGTTGGACGGCTACCTCCTTTTGCCACGAAAACCAGTATTTCCTGAGTTGCATTAACAACGTTTGGAATTGAAAAGTCCAGAAAGTTCGCTTTCCCGGCAGGCTCCCCCGACTTCGACGTCACGTTGCGCCACAAGATGACGAAAGGCCCAGAAATTTCCTGACACGCCGGCCAAACCCGGCATCGCGTTGAAAAAGCGAAAAATTCGAACATTCCAGGACACCTCCCGCCTTCCCGGCAGCATTCGCATTACGCAAACAGCTCCAACCAACGGTCACGTAAACCTGACATCCCCTCCCTCCCAAACGCCATAAAAGCGAGCTATCGCCTCACCCGCGACCATTGCGAGCTCCAGAATGCATTGCTGGGTTCAAGGACAGCGTCGACGCGGCTGCGGCCAGTGGGGGCCCTGCAGGGGGCCTTGGGCGGGCAGGGGGCGGTGGGGCCCATGGGGTTGGCCACCGCATGCCGGCTGGCGTCCCCAATGCGGCCCCAGGCACCACGGCAGGGACGGTGGGGGCAGGTTTCGATGGCCACTGGCCGGCCGGGATCCCGGCGACCCGAACGCGGACGGTCTGGTTGATCTGGAAGATTGGGGTGCGGAGTACCGACTCGTGCGGTGGGTTCCTGACGTGAGGGCGGACCAGATTCGCGTGCAAGTGGAGGGTCGGTTCGTGGTGGTGCGCACGGAATGCGATGAGCCGGAGAGGCGGTTTGAGTGGCAGGCTCGAGTGCCGGAGGGCGTGGAGGAGGGGGCGATACACGCGGAGGTGTCCGAGGGGGGCGTCCTGACCGTGATCCTGCCCAAGGCGGAGGACCCCGTGCGCGTGATCCCCGTCACGGAAGTTCGAGGCCCTTCCGGAAATGCTCAAAGGGGCGTGGAGGTCGAGGATGCGGCGAATGCGGGAAACGCAGAGAATGGCGGATGGGTGGTGGAGGAAAGGGGTGGGGAGTACAGGCTGAGTCGGGATGTGGGGCCTGTTGAAGCGGAGGGGGTGGTTGCGGAGGTGGTCGACGGCAGGGTGGCGGTGAGCGTGCCCGGGGTGGGCGGCGGGGCGGGGGTGAGGGCCGCGTGGGGCATGCCGCCGGACGTGGACCACGGGGCTGTGTCGGCTGACGTGGAGGACGGCACGCTGACGGTGGTTCTGCCCAAGGCGGGGGCGGCGGCGCGAGAGGCGGGATCTGGAGCGGCTGAGCCGCAGCAAGGGCGGGGGGAGCATCAAGGTAGTTGTTATTAAGTACGCTCGCGCTTTCGTTGCCGCTGATTTGCTTGTGTTGCAGTTGCTGCTGATCTACGTGTTTGCGGCTCCATTTGGGAGGGGAGCAGTTCTGCCGTGGCTGCGTGGAGGGAAACGCGCTTGAGTCGGTGCTGTTCTGGGCCGCCCGTGCAGCCGACACGCTTGTTCAGACGCATGTGGCGACCAAAATGCTGTTGGCTGTGGCCGAAACTGCGTGGCATCTGGCGAACTGACCCTTCTTCATGCCCCCCGCAGGCTCTGCATCTCAGGCGGAGGTCGATGCGGTCGGCCAGAAGGTCGGGAGCCTTCAAATCCCCGACAGCGCGGCACCCGCGGAGCCGTCCGCGCCGCTGCTGCCTGCGGACACGGAGCCGCGGGCCCAGGGCGCGGCCGTGGGCCCGCAGGCCCCGCAGCCACCGGGCAGCCCGTCGGGCGACATGACCGACTGGGTCGACGTGATGGAGGAGGACGCCAGCAAGGCGGAGGGACAGAAGGATTGAAGGCATGCATGGGGGTCGCTGGATCGGCGCAATTTTCGGAAATCTGGCTTTGTGGATGCCGGTTCGGAGGGGAAGGGATGTTTGTTCTCCGCTGTGCTGGACCCAGAGAATTCTGCACCGGTGTCCTGCTGGATGGCAAAGGGTCCCTGTAAACGGTTTGTTGAAGATGGGCCTCGCGACTGGCGAGATTTGGTTGTTTTTTCTCTGAAGTGACGATATTCGAGTTGAGGTTGGAGAGCGTGAAAAAACTGGGTAGTCCAGAGACTGAGCCCAGGGGCCTGGTGAACATAGCGAGGAATCGATCGACTCAACCTGTGGAGCAATATGAGCAAACGTTTCTCGATGAATGCAACTTGGGCTGTAGGATGTAAGGGAGCGGTGGCGTCATTTCGTGGACAGTGATGCCGGCATCAGCGGTAGTTTGTGTAACATTGCAGCCAAGGCAACGGGGGCCGAAGTTTTGTTGTAATAAGAAAGTGAAACATTTTGGAGGCAAGGGGCACACCCCTTCTGAGCAATGGATGGCTGCTGGCCATGTGCCATAATGCGAATGATGAGGTCCGAATGCAAGATACACGTGGTTCCGTGCAGCATGCATAGCGATAAGACTCGCCAAGAAGAGCCTCATCATTTGCCTTCTAAGGAGTGTTCTTAACTTCAATTTGAGGAATTAAGCTCCAGCATGCTTGGGTACGGTGCTCTTCTTCCGAAGTTTAGCCAAACTTACCTGTCCAGAATGTGCCAGCGGCATAAAACATTTTCAGTCATTCCGCCTGCTGTGTCTTACGGTTACCATTCCTGCTGCCCAAGTCTCACTATCCTGATTGGTCAAGAGCAACTGTCGCTCAGCGACATCACTACATTGATTTGTGCTTTCAACTGGCACACAAAGCTCTCGTTCCCAAGCGTGCATATCTAAGACTGCACACAGCTGTAATGTGAAAACTGTCCAATAGTGGCTCACTATCATATCTGGGTTGGATTAGGTCCCATTACACTATCGTGTCTGGGTTTGGTTGGTGCATCTGGGCTGGGCTTGCGCTCTGTCCCCCTACCGGAATTCCTCCATGACGTCATCAGGGACTCAATGGGGCTGCTAACAGCTGTCGAAAGTGTCCCTTGGTACCTATCACCCTCAAGCAGCTGCAAATTGCTGTCTTCTGTTCATGTACACCGGTCATGATGCCAATGCCGTTCGACAGCATGCAGCGAAAGTAGATCGATGCAAGGTCTCCGCCTGCTAATGCATGGGGACCCTCTGGTAGTACACAACACCCGCAGATGGTCACATATCCATGGTCGCAACAGCCAACCCCCGTCGATGGCACGACGACCATCCCACATGTCGGAATTTTGGGGCGCGGGACGCCCATACGGCGTCCCGCGCCTTCCCCTAAACCCCAAACCTACGCCCGCACAATGGGTGGAATCGCACACGTGGCGTCCCGCGCCCCTTTCTTCCACTTCGATGGTCCGCATGGGAACCGCGCATAACCCTCTCACATACTAATGGGCAGCTGGTCCACGTCGACAGCCCCAGCTCCACTTTGTTGGATAGTGCACTGAACGACCAAGATGTCCTCCCTTGCGCGGACTGGCTTCTCACAAAACGCCGCTTGCCACAATGATGATCACCACCAAAACTAGCAATGGAAGCTGAAGGATGCCTCAAACGAGAAGCAGATGACCAGCCAGTGGCCAACGCACGCAAATATCCTTGTAGAAGGGCTTGGAACTGCCGTGCAGAACTCCGCAATCAATCGCAGCAGTTCCTCAAAGGTCGATGGAGTCAAAAACGACGGTTAGGTCTACGTGTCAGGTCAGCCCCGTCTACAATGCGGCAGCGCATGACGCAGCAGGGCTTCTTTCCACCTTGTCACGGCTGCGTAGTGACGATTATTGGCGAATTATGGTCGGCAGCAAGACCGCACTCGAGGTGTTGGCGTGAGCGACAAGGAAAACGCCAGACATTGGCCGCGACCTTCGAAAAGGTCGAGTGCTATTGCGCACAGGCCATGGCGCATGATGCGCGCACAGCCAGGGGACTCAGGCAGCCAGGCCGCATGCCTAGACCGCCGCGTGAGGCACAGAGAGACCACACGCAGCCGTTGTTATAGCTGCCTTGCAGAGTTCAACAATGCATCGACCATTATGGCGCTCTCCATGCCCTCCGTACTTGTATCCCACAAGGGCGTCCGACATTTCACACGACACCCTCTTTGTGGGAAAGCATCTTTGATTCACCCAAACATCCTGTCGCACCCAGTTTCAATGCAATCCAATCCACTTCACGTGGTCAGTAGCCACAAAATGCCTCACGGGTCATATTCCCATCACACAGCCAGGTGGCGCCTCCACACACCCTGGCACGTGGAAGGAACCGGGGCCCACGGGTTCCATCTCATCGTGCTCCTTGGAAGACCACGAAGGGGCCAGCCCACATCATCATAAACAGAGGTTCCATTCATAAAGTACACATGCCAGCCAAATCATGGCCAAAACAGCATTTATTGATGCACTATCTTAAGCAAACCTCTTGAAACATCTCTCAATGAAATAGGGAGGATGCAATCATGTTGCAGAATTGACTGGCAGCCGAGTCGTGCTTCAAGTCCAAGTTTTAGGCTTTAATCCAATAGATAAACCTTCATCACATTAATTTTCCAAATCTGTACACCATTATCACATAATCCAACAAGTGACCCACATCAAATTTATTGATTTCAAAACATCTTGTCCCGTTCAAGGCTCAATCTTCACATCAAACTTCTCGAAACCATCAAAATCAGGTAGGTTGGGCAATCAAACATATCAACATCTTTCCAAACATTGTTGTCCTTCTCTCTTCTAACTCAGATAGCCATGACACACAACTCACCAAAACATTATCTTGCTCCTTGCCCAACTCTTCCTGCACCTATGGTTAGTGGCCACGATCTCTGGCTTTTGGCAAATAATGTAACATGGCTTTCATCCCAAGGTCGTAGCTCCAATGCCCATCTTATCGACAATCTCCTTTTTGATTCATCAGATCTCTCCATTCCCAAATCTCCCTTTGGCATGCCTTGGAGATGCTACCTATTGTTGGGCCAGGCGATACTCAAAGTCATTTTCAAATCCTTGAGCTGCTTCAAAAGCGAACACTATCTCATATGGTGCACATGGTTTTGCCAATTTTCGTCCATTTCTCACAGCATCCCAAAATCCGGCGCAGCCCTGTGGCTTGATCGACATACAACACAAAAAGTGCAGAGCTTCTACCACCAATGCTGGCCGTGCGACTGAACAAGTATCAGCACAAGCATAGGTTCTATGCTTTCTAAGTTTCTATTCTGAAATTATTGGAGAAAATGCTAATGGTGGGATTAGTTCAAAGCGTTGATTCGATTTCAACCATTGCAATGATATTGCACTAGTTAGACCTCAATCGCTGGTTCAACTCAAAGGGTGATGTGGGATGCCAAAATGAGCTTGAATCGATTGTAAATGGTGAACAAAACTGCTATATGCCTAGTGTTGGGGACGCTGTATGTAGGACCTTTTGCTTGGTCTGGTGTAGTGGATGCCTTACCCGGTCTTTCATGATAACTCCTCTAACTTGGATATATTATATAGATAATCAAAAGGGGGCGCAACCCCTTTGTGACCAACCGGGGTTTGGCCCGTGTGTCTTGTTCGAGCCGGGAGTCAGTTGTGAGTGAGCAAGGCGGACGGGAAATTGGAATGGTAGCTTTGTATTATAAACTAAGAGCCGGGCAGCTATATTTATAGCTGCCCGTATGGCGGCAAGGTGGTAGCCCAAGAGGCACCTCTAGAATCTCGTATTTGAATGTCCATTTTATCCCATTCACTCATTCATATCTCCATGTTCATAGTGAGTCATCCCAAGGTCATCGTGTCCCCGCACCCAATGCGGTATTCTGACCCACCAAGTCCCAAGCCGTCCCACAACCATATTAACCCGTTTGTGTCCGTGCTGCCATGTTCATGAACATGGCAGCTCCCAGCAGTTCACCGCCCTTCTACTAATGTACATTATTCTATTGTATAGGGTGGGGGCTTCCCTCCCGTTTATTCTAATATACAGGGCCAGTTCATGGCCACCTAGCTCTCCCCTTTTCTGTATCCCAATATACAATGTGTACCTGTCACACTTGAGAGCACCTCTAGCCTGTCCAATCTAATGTGCAAGGTCAGTTTGTCCCATTGTTTTCTGTTATATAATGTACTGAACAAACCCTCACAGTAGTAGTTAGGTGTGGAACCATTTGCTGGCCTGTATGTCACCAGGTTCCCAGCGAGGCAGATCCGTGGATTAAAGAGCGTAGGCACCCCAACCCAACAGCTGGTATAAAAGCGATTCATCTTAAAACCTTGAAACAATGCCCTATAGGGCAATTAGCTAATTGCAAACTCATTTTGACACTGTCTCATCTTGATTGTGGCCTCATTTTTTTACTTTCTTTTCTTCTGCCAAACTTCTTTTTGTCTCATATTCACCTCTCATCATACTTTTGTACTTCTTTGGTTTTGTTCTTTACGTTTTTTAATTCAAAATAGCTCATGTATTGGACAGAGCCAGTTTAGTAGTCCATTTTTTAAATCCGTTGCAATTACATTTGCCAAAATCATGGCAAAGCAAGCCCTGTCACCAAGCTGACGATGTCGGGCATTGTTCCCAGGAAACAACATGCAATCCAGTCTGCATATATGTTCGACTGTCACCAAACGGTCCCCAAAACTGGAAGCAAAATCACCCAAAGAAAAAAGTAAAACACGGGCCCGAAAATGTCAAGAGCAACCCCCAGACCCTCGAGGGGGTAGGGGGAGTGCAGAAGTGAGAGCCAATGAGTAGTCCATTACTAGTAATCCTAACACCCGCCTCACTATACTCCATCGTGCTAAATGATGGTCGGTTTAGTAAAGGTGCTGAAATTTTTGACACTCCCTTTCCTCACTTCTGGACTTTGCGGGCTGCCCACTGCTTAGTATCACCCAGGCTTGGTTTTTACGCCTTAAAAACTGATCGTATTTACGTTTTTACACGTAAAAATATTTTTACGTTTTTACGCGTAAAAATGCGTAAGAATACGTAAATACAACGTAAAAACTGCCTGGGGTACATAAGAACAGTACATACAGATTTGCAGAGTCCGGCGAGTGGCAGCCAAACGCCTTGGAAGAGGCAAAAAATGAGTTTTTGTTAAACGCCATTATCGCCCTTGCCAAGGGCGAGGTGGACATTGTGTTCCGGGTGCTGGAGATGGCGGAGGACTGATCATTGTACGCAACTTTCGTCGTGTAATGCACGTGTGCCAGGTAGCCGTAAAAACGTAAAACTAGCCGTAAAAATAGGCCCTTTTGCAAATTTACGTTTTTGCGGGTAAAAACGTAAAAGTAAAAAAGTAAACGTAAACTAAAAACCAAGCCTGGTATCACCAACATACTAATTTTTCTGATGATTGCCACTGTTGGTGACCTAAGCGCTTTTTAATCGCTTCAGTCAACATTCTAATAAAATGCAAGGCAAGTCAACGACAACACTCCCAACAATTCATCATCGATGCAGGCAACGACTGCCAACCTTCGCCTTCACTTTTTACATTTGCACATTGAGTTTAGCCTCGTTCCCATACCCAATCCTTGCATGAACACTTGCGCAACACGTGCGAAGTACCAACTCACTTGATTTCAACATCGACGCCTACATTTCTTCACTAAATTCCTGCTTGTTGCGCTCTTAAATCTTCATTCCCACTGTCCACATCTGGAAAATCGGTGACTTTATTGCAATATTTCTTGTAGAGTGTCATTGATGCAACACTACGGGAAAAGGGAGGTGTCCGCACGGTTTCTAAGCGGCTGCGATGCGTCCGAGCCCATCCGCGCAGGGCACAGACTTGTCCAAGTGGCTGTTGAAAAGTTTTTCAAGGCCTCGGATGGTTTGGCGCATCCCCGGACACTTTCAAAGTGTTGGAAGGCGCTTGGACGCGTCCAAAGCGTCCGAAGCCTCGGAAGTCTTTTCAGTAGCCCTTCGCACACATCCACGTACTGCGAGGATATGCTCGGATGGTTCAACAGTGTCCGCGCAATGGCAACAGCTCTGAGGTGCCGCCAAACGACACACGTCAGTTTGTCACTTGGGAGGTGGGCATTTTTTGCATAGAACTAACCCCGTCCAAATTGCCCCCATACGTCATGCCAAGGCAGTGCGGCAAACGAGGGGCCCATCTGGGATGGGCGACAACACAGAACGATGGGTGGGACCCGCCCATGTCCAACAGAAACAAGAGAGAAGAGCCGCCACGCACTAGACCCCGTGCACCTGTCCTGACTTAGAAAATCACCAGGGTGATGAGGGCGTGACAAGATCAACGCTGCTGATCATATTACCCTTGTGGAGGAGGCCAGCCACGTAGAGGACGTTTCGAGGCAACGGACGGGACGGCCTACGAGGGGCTGACGATTTTGGCTTGCTTTGAGTGCAGGCCATGCAGGAGCCCCGATCACCCACAATTGAGGAGGTGGCGGATGCAGAATTGACAGTTTCTGTGTGCATTGTTTGCAGGCTGCCAAGGCGCCGGAATCGCCGGCGGTTGACACTAGTAGAAAACGGCATGCTTGTGACGCCATTTTGGCACAAATTGATGCCATCACAGCCACATTTTGTGCCATCGCAATCACTGTGATAGTATCATTTTGTGTCAAAATGGCATCGCAGTTGGCATCACAAACATGCCGTTTTCTACCAGTGTGAGGAGCCGGGTGGTGAAGAGCTCGCAAGTTCTATGTGTTGTGTGCGTAGGCCACCCAGGAACTGCGATCGCTGGAAATCGAGGAATAGTATGGTGAGGGACTGACATTTGTGTGTGCTATGCTTGCAGGCTGTGGGGGATGTAAAAGTAACGGTTTCTGTTTGTTTTGCGCGCAGGCTCTCCAAGTGTTGCGATTTCCAGAGATGAAAGATCGCCGACGCTCACCTTGCATTGCCGGCTGCCACTAACAGCAAAACTAACCGCTTGGGGGGCCCACTTGCACCCCCCACAAGCAAAACAATCGTGTAGAGGATCACTGGCACCCTCACGCTCAACCCGCACTATATGCCACCACAACACCATAGCATCAAAAAACGCGGGTGGGGGGGAGCACAACTGGCAGCCCCCCCAAGAAGAAATTGAAACGGTTGCGATTGAATCCACCCATTCCATGGACAGTGCCCGCGTGCTCCCCCGGATGGTGTTCGCGCACCCTTCGGACAGTGTCCTTGCGCCCTCTGGACAGCATCCGCGTGCTGCCTGGACAGTTTCCGCGCTCAGCCCGGATGGTTTCCGTGCACTGCCTAGACGATAAAGCGTGTTTGCGCATGACAAAAGTGTCCATGCACAGAGCGTCCAAGCGCACAAAAAAAGTGTCCGATGCGTCCGCGCCACACGCGGATGGAAAAAGTGTCCACGTTTTTGCTGGATTCTGTGCCCTTGGATACTCCGGACAGGGTAGGACGCTTTGTTTTAGAGTTTGGATGCTTCCGCTTAGTGCGCAGACGCTCTGGACGCTTTTTTCAGTTCCTCGGGCAGTGCCAGCAGCGTACTCGGATGCAGTCAGATGCATCCAAGCTGCTCGGAAACCGTGCGGACGCCCCCTTTTCCCGTAGTGCAGATGAGGACAACATTGCAGCAAGGCTAGTGTAACAGCATTGATACAACGTTTGCGCACACATCAACGGTTGTCAATATCGACATACAGGCATACGCTGCGGCTTTGCTCGGCAATGGATCGACGGCACTGCTGCTACAATGTTGCATCAACCTTTACCGATTTTCCAAATGGAGTTACCATGCACAATTCGTAGCATCCTTTTTGCCCCGGTCCCTCGATTTCTCCGGCTCTGCTTGGACGATTTCATGCCACTCGAAGTGCTGACAATCCCGTCTGCGATGAAGACTGCGCCATCAACGATGTCGTAAATGCTGTGACGACCCAAATTTCATCTCCCTTCTTCGACGTCGCACAAGTTCCGCCACAGAAACTGCTTGTCTCTTCAACACACCGGCGATTTCTAGCAGCTAAATGTCTTGACGTCTGGCAGATCGAATGAAACCTACCACTGGCACCAGTAGAAAACAGCCTATTTGCGATGTCAATTGTGATGCCATTTGACACAAATTGATGGCATCGCAGCCGCTTTTATGGCATCGCAATCACTGTGACGGCATCATTTTCTGTCAAAATGGCGTCGCAGTTGGCATCGCCAACACGCCTTTTTCTCCCAGTGTGGCGCACCTACATAGGCTCGACATATCGAGCAGTCAGCCAGCTTTTGACGGGCTTTCGTGCATGGGTGAGCGCAATGCTCTTGGCGGTACTTGCACCCCCAGGTGAACTTGGCCCGAAAGTCACAACAGCCGCTGAAGTGCTGTCTCACTTTGAAAAAGGGGTGACGCCGCCTACGCCCACCACCACCCAATCAGGGCGTCGGAGGCCACCCCAGCAATCAGCCAGCCAATCATTGCGTGCAGAGGCACGGGAGATTAGCACGCCATTAGCCGCCGCCACCATACCGTCTTCAGCCGCCTGTACCTCGGCGTGACTGTCGCGACTCTCCAGGGAGGAACCACCGGCGAAGCGCCGCGCTGCCCGCCGACTCTCCGCCCGGCTGCTTTTGACGGGGATGACCACACTTGTCACGCGCAGTTTTAGCGCAAGAGATGGCAAGTACGGGTAGAGGCGCCACGGTACTGCCCTCCAGCACAGCTTCCGTGATCAGACTGACTCGCCCCTCTCAACCCCATCCAGCCACCCCCCAAGTCGACTCACCGGCTTGTTGAGCCCGCCCTGAAACCTCCCCCTCCTTCTCGCGGCATCCGCGCCCATGACTCCCACCGTGCGTCATGCTCCGCGCCGAGCACCGGAGTCGCACGTGGGCGAAACGGCGCGTCACTCATCCACGCGCCGCCCGGCCCACAAGGGGGGTCGGCGGTTGATGTATTTCGCGCCCGAGCGGCAGAGCCTCGGCACAGGGCTCCTCAACGCGGTTCCTCCACGCCGTTCCTCACAGCCGCAAGAGAGGGCTGGTTGGGTCCCGTCGCCATGCCGGGCCTGGCTCAGGCATCCCAGGGTTGCAGGCGATCGCGACGCCTGGGCGTCGATGGCGGCGTGCAAAGGAAGACGATGCGGAGGGAAGGCGCCTGGGGGTGCCGGGGCGGGTCGCGGGCGGCCAAGGGCGAAGCCGTTGGAGAGGGGACCTTCGGCGTGGGCTGCCCAGCGGTGGACCCTGAGGTCCGCGACCTGGGGATGGAGCACAGGGCGGTCCTGGTGGTGCCCAGCGTGTGCAGCGCCGACATCCGGCTAGACGTTGCGGGCGGGGCCCTGTCGGTGTCCCTGCTGGGACCGTGCGGGGAGTCCCGGCCCCTGTGCCAGATCTCGATCCCGGACGGCGTGGAGGAGGATTACATCACCGCGGAGGTGGCGGGGGTGATTCTGACAGTCGTGATGCCCAAGGCGGTGCCGAGGCGAGTGCGGATGGCGGATCCCGAAGACGGCGCCGGCTGGGGCCCGCTGGCGCCGGACGGCCGCGCCGGCATGATTGGCGATTGGCTGGTCGAGGTGGGAGTGAACGGATACCGATTGTTGAGGCCGATTCCGCCGGCTTGCTGGGGCCCCAAGGGGGTGCAGGTGGTGCTGATGGGCAGCAGGGTGGCGGTGTGTGGGGAAGGGGGGGAGGCGCTGGACGGCTTCCGGGCGCCCGAGGACGTGGACCAGGAGGGCGTGTTCGCGTCGGTGGCGGGCGGGCTGCTGGTGGTGGTGATGCCCAGGCGAGGGGCCGAGGGCCCGGAGGGGTGACGCGTGTCACAAAGGCAAAGAGAAACGGGCCATGCAAAGGGGAGCACCTGCGAGTGCATGCGGGGCTCTTTTTATTGTTGCTTTTTTCATTAATGCTGTGAAAGATGGGCGCGGGCGAGGGGAGGGGAGGGGAGGGGGGCGGAGGGGTGAGATTGGATGCAAAGGAGGATTGCTCTTTGCAGCTTCCTCCTCCGATTCGGAAGAGAAGCGCGTCGTGCAAAGGGGAGCACCTCCTCAAATGGGGCGTGCAGGGGGCGGTGAGGGACCTTGTGAGACGTTGCTGCTGGATTCGTTGTGCTGTTTAAGGAGCTTGGGCTAGGGGTGGTGCGGCGCGAGAGGGACTGGGGTCGTGACCCCAATGACGGGTGGGGTGGGGGTGGGGGTGGTACGTGTGGTGGATTTGATTGATTGAGTTCGGAGAATGGCGAAGCAAAGTCTGTGATGGGGTGCAATGGTGGAGTGCGACGGTTTGGGCCCGGTATGGGCAGGGATCGCTAGTGAGGAGAGGGATCGCAAATGAGGGCGAGGGTGCCAAGGGGGCAGGGCCTTGTCGGAAGCCCGGCTCCACCGGCCATTGGGGGGGCATTTGATAACAACACATGAGCACATATTTCGTTTCTGAGTCGTTTTTCTTTGCTGCGGGGAACATATTCCTGAGACCTTGGGACGTCACATGGTGAAGAGGTGAAGAGGACGAAAGGGTCTCTGTGGAGGGTGTGCCGATGCCGCCGTTCACATGCAATGAAACAAAGGATGGCGTGTGCGAGCAATGCTTGCACACTTGCGTGCTGTGGGCTATGCGCATAGGCGAATCGTGGGCGTGGGCGGATGTGGGTGGATTCGGATGCATTGCAGACAGCTGATGCACGTGATGCCAAGTGTGAGAACTGAAAACGAACGCTCTGGATGGTGACCAATCCATCAAGTGATACTGCGCAATGTGTATAATCGGAGACGGCGACGCTGGGGCTGTTTCTTGTCGAATTCCCTCAGGGACGCTTGCACATGCCTGGCTGTGCGCTGCAGGGTATGAGATGCACAGTTGCGTGTATCAGTGCCCAGATAGGTACTGAAAAATTGATGAAAATCAACCTACATGTAGCTGATCATGCGCAATCACTGTCAACGTGCTGCACGCAACAGGTAATGGCATATCGATGCCATTTTAGCAACATTTTGTTCCCCGTGTCAGCTGCTGGACAACGCGTGTCATCAATGCTCCTTGTGCACCAAAGGGAACTATCATGCTGGCAACAGTGTGTGTTGCTCACGGTCCAGGGTTTCAGAACCAGTTCCATCAAAATCATGTTGATCAAACTGCGCAGTTTATGTCAAGCCGCAGCGATGTCTTCTGCCAAGCCACGACCTCTATCGTCACAATTGTCACAATTCATGACACCGGGTGCCTACGCCAAGGCATGTTTGATCAGCTTTTGACACTGAGGGTACGATGTCATTTACATTGAGCAGAGGGGGCGCTGGGGATGTGCCCGACATTCTCCCTCATGTAAGTCCACGGGCACATCAACATTTCCGTCGGATATTCCCAACCCCGGTGAGACCACCCGCATCCCCATTTCGAGGAAGCGTCACAGGCAGTACGCACATGGCCAGTGTCGCCTCCCTGAAAGCAACGCTGCCACTGGAGCAACTCTCACCAACCTCATATTCGCCTTTCCTGCACCAGCACCAAAACTGCCAACTCGAAATTAACGCCCGAAAACCTCAATCCACATGGCGCCTTTCGCACTGCAACGCCCACGGGCCAACATCGCTCGCGGTTCTACCACTTGGCGTAACGGCCGTTATGTGCAACATGGCCCTCGTATACGCCGCCTCTGGCGTTCTGACCAATGTACGGCGTCTCGTAAAGTCGCTCCCCGGGCTGGTCACGCTGGCTCGGACGCAGCCAATAGTCACGAGGTCTGGTGTTTGGCCCTTCCCCGTGCCAAGGGGTGTCGTTGGAGGGCAGGGGGCCGCGGTGACCCGGGTATGTCTCCCGCCGCGGGACCTCCTCTCTCTCCTCTACGGGCTCCTCCTCGTGGGCAACCTGGAAACATTGACTGAAAATGGTCACGCTCTTTTGCACAAGGTGGGCCCGACTGTGTGTGGCAATGTTCTGAATAGTGTGCCTGCGGCCAAAAGCCTTGCACTTTGACGCAATTTTATATTATTTAGCATGACATGAGTGTTGAAGCTCACAAGAGGTGGCTTGGGCAATGCATTGCGGACTCACGGGGTTATTTCATCTCTCTACAAGATGCTTTACAAGAATTTCAATGTCCATGAACGGAGCTGGAAATTCGCTGGCTTCAGCGCAGTGGCGGCGTTCTGTGCCAGGGATGTGATTGACTCAAAATATGATATGTCTGATCGGAAAGCGGACAATGTTTGGAGTTTTATGAGGGTCACGACACCCTGATCCAGCTCACGACAATGCATACAGGGCGCCCGCCTGGTGCTCCATTGCCTGGTAAGAGCCTGGGATGGTTTGGGAACTCCAAAGCAAGGACTCGCGCACCTGGTCGCAGTGCTGACCGTCACAGCCGCTGTACAATTTGTACGAAAGTGGCCGCACTTGCGTGCTCTTGACCCGACGGATTTCTATGGGCTCCACCACCTGGATTTTGTCGTACTCCGCGGACCCCTCGCACCAGTATGGCTCAACCAAATCCAGGGAGCAGCTTTCGAGGTACCTAGCGGTGACGATGAGGAGGTCAGCAGGCGCCTGGAGCCAAGTTGCGCATGTGACGGTATGGTTGCCACAGAGCAAGACCCTTGCATGAAATTTCGCTTGCTCAGGAAAGCTATACGGTGCATTCGGGGGAGTTTCTGTCCCATTTTTTTACCCGTCAGAATGGGGTGATAGGAGTGGCATTTGGGATGTGGTCGCATCATTGAACCAAGGGCATATGGATCGGCAGGAAAACAAACTGTCGTTACCCCTGCCCTCGTCTCTTTTCCAGAAACGGAAACAATATGAGCACGTAGTGAAATTGCTCTGACAGAACAGCTTGCGTCGCCATCAAAAGCTGGAAGGCGATGGAAACTTGTGGCATGCTTCATATCCCATAGTCCATGCATGGAAGCGGAAGATTGTGGGCATCGGTCAGCGTTCTCATCAACTCACCACCTTTGGATGACGTTAGAACTATTTCCTGATCAATGCTCCTAGAAGTGTACATCTACTGCACAACCACTTGGGAAAGAAATTTCTCAAAAGTGAGTGCATTAGAGCACCATGCCGACGATTAAGCACGTTGGTACAGAAAATTGAGTCCCATTTCGCAGACGAAAGTTGATATGTTTCCCGGATGGAAAAGCGGGAGAGGCCGCCGCTGACTCAAAAGACGCAAGTGCCGCCAAGCCGCCTAAGAACATCCACAAATGGTCCCTTGTTGTGAGCATCAGAATTCAGCCACCCTCGCAGCAATCATGAATCCGTTGAGACAGGATTCTGGAAAGCTACCTCGCACCCCACCTGGCTTCAGCGTTGATGCTCACGTGCACAGGTCCATAATAGTCCTCATCCCACTCCACAGACAGCAGGTAGCTTGCCTTCGGCCCTTGCACCTTGGAGAAGTGCTTGACTTTGTACTTGCGCGGGCCCTTCACAGTCATGCAATCCCTGCACACGTTGGCATCCTGTGTGCATAGGAGCACGAAGTCCGCTTTGTACTGCTCGGTGACCAGGCCTCGGCCGGCCTCGAAGGAGCCGTCCACGGAGTAGAGTCGGCAGGTGGGCCTAGGCGAGGAAGAAAATGGTGTCAGGACCTCCAAAGATCAACAGCGGAGACTGAAAAAGGCGCCCCATACTAATCTTCGGTCCGATGCAACCAAACCGATGATTGCATGTGCGAGACTTCTGAAACCCATATGTCAACCACACACTGCAGCGCACATGTGCGTTATAACAGTGCCAAATGTGCGTCTGCCACCACATCCTCTGCTTTCCACCAGCCGTGTCACATTGAAACCTCGACAGACATAACAATGGGGTCGCAGGCACAGCGGTTCACGCGCACCAGAGCGGCCCTCTTCAACCTGGGCCGAACGAGCGACCGGTCAGCTGGCGACACTCACGGGTAGCAGACTTCGGCGTTGCCCAAGACGGGCAGCGTCCCGCAAGTACTCCACTTGCCCTTCACGAGCGCCACCCCCTCCACCGAGAGGGTGTCCTTCTGACAGACGAAGGGGTCTTTGGCATCCAGGGACGCCTTCAAGACGATGTCGCCATAGTGGTCCGACACGTCGGTGATCTCACTGCCGTCGTCCCCGGAGCGCTTGCCCCAGTGGTGGCGGTGTCCATCTGGGCCAGGAGGCGCGATTAGAGCGCCGGAAAGCAAAAACCGCTTTGGCGCTGCTGCTTTTGCTTGTGCGACGCAAGGAAAAATGAGCTGCTTCTTCAGAACAGCGCTGCCGGCATCAATGGGAGTTGGGATAGGCTGTCTGATTGTTGACCAAATATAGCGTGTAGATGCTACTAAGCATTCAGAAACGGGGAGGTGATGGCAGCTTCCGTGCGCTTGCTCTTGCTGTCAATCGGACGAGCGCTCTCTGCTTGCCAATTGCTTACTGGAGCTAAACGAGAATTGGGAAGCTGCGATCAGCTGAAAATGCTATCTGCATTGTGACCGGCACTACGTGAGCATCAATACTGCTTAAAGGCATCAATCGCGATTCTCAACACACCTCCACTCTTGACGGCCAGTTCTTCTTTTTGGATGTGGTATTTTCCATCTGATCCGTCTATCTTAGCGACCACCTCAATTTTCTTCCTGTCATGGGTTAGCGCCGTTTTTTCAAACGTCACTTTCGGAGGGTCGGACACCAAGAGATGCACGTCCACCACTGCGTCGGGCTCGTTGTCGTACTCTCCTACAGACTTGTCCTGTGAGTTGATGTGTACCTTGGCGTGGTATGCACCAACAGGGAGGCCTACAAAGCAACATGAGCTAATTCAATGGTGTCGAAGTACGATCGCCTTGCGTTGAAAATTTCCTTGGAGAATTACCAGCATGGAACAGGGCATTTGTTTTGCATCGAGACGTGGATTACGACTGCCCATTCTGTACGTGAAAAATTGCTTACGCAAAATTTGCCTTGAATGATATAAGAGACAAATTCGTTCAAAATTCTTACTGGCTGGCGTTCCCCAAATCGCAGAGACTGGATGATGCTGTAGCGGCAATGACGACTTAGCGATGCTGCCACTCTACCCATCTATAGCTGACACACTTAATCCAAATGTACGGGCGCATGCCAAACATGTTGCAGAATTGCCTCTCTTCGCCCCAGTCGAGATAGCCTGTCAATTTCTGTTCGCTGCCCTCTACTTCCTAGGTAACAGGCGAGGCCTTTTATCACCTTCTGGAGAGTACGTCACTGCGAGTTTTGCGTCGCGGCAATCGGGCTTCCCGTAGTGGTCGAACCCGATCTCTCCCGCGTTCTCGGCAATCGACAGCCACGCTCCGGCGGAGGGGGGGTCGTATGTCACTTCCTGCGGACCCGCGGACCGCAAAACATCAGTAGGTGACCCCGAG